AGACTGTTAAAAGGTTGGGGGATATAAGGAGGTAGTAGACAGGATGGGAGGGGTTCGCATTTTACAAAATTTGCCCATGATCATGGATCGTAGGACGTGCCGTGGATAGGTATAAGACAGCCTGGGCGAGGGTAAGGGGGGGGGGGTAGAGAGGAAGAACCTCTCCCTTCAAGGTTTTTAGCGTCGGCAGATCAACATGTTGAGCAGCAGTGTATACCAAAAAATCAGCGCAAAATTATCTGAACTTGCACTGACTCCAAACTATATTATTGTCCTCCAAATTAGCAGTAAGGCTACGGTAACAGCTCTTCTTGCCCTAGTCTTAATTTTGCAGCAAATTAACGATGAATGTTGCCCTATGCCTTTTTAGGTTTTGGCAAAAGCTGAAGCAAGTCGACTGAAAGAACAGCAGCGATTAGGGTAAGTAAATTTATGATCGTTCTTTGAAGAGAAGCTTGCAGAACGTCTGCAGAAGTGGAAGTTAGTCTTTTTCTTCAAGTCTAAGTCGTTACGGTCTGAAGGGAATGTTTGTAGTATGTGAGAATATCTAACCTATCAGTACCGAAATGATAAGATTTTCGCGCGTGTTTCGTGCAGCGAGGCGAAGCTGATGCGATAACAGGCCAGGTATTGTACCGGCATGATCCGTAGGGTTTAAAGGGTAGGTATAGAGTAAAGAGGTAGACTTGTGCGTACCGAAGACGAAATGTTGGGAGAGTCGTATCTACCGAAAATTCTCCTTTACAGAATAATGTGCCTGAGCAAGGGCATTCTCGAGGCCACAGCTCACCGCCAAAGACTTTTCATGAAAGGGATTGTTAGTGGATTTCCGCTCTGTCTGCGCTCGACTTGGCCAATGTAAGGAGTCAAGTAGGAGCGGAGGGTCGCACCTCACCGTTTGAAACTGTGCGTGGGTAAATAGGAGTTCCCATCCCCACCTGTAAGAGAGGAACCTTCTGCTGAAAAGCCCATATCTTCGGAGCCTAGTCTGCTCCTTCCTTCATTACTGGAACGATTTTTGAGGACAGGGGTTTTCCCGATGTTCATTTCACGCTCATTTTCCCTGGTTTTATGTGGAGTAGTGGCGGATGTAAATCAAACTGTTGAGTGCGCCACGCGGCCGCTCATCTTACGGAATCAGAGGAGCTGTTGGAGTGGAACCATGCTTATCTAGCGCCTTACGAAACTCACACGATGTTCACTTCATAGAGCAACCCTTTTGTGCGCCACGCATTCGGATCCCATTCGGATTTGGAAATATTTGAATCCTCTTTCGACCTATACAACTCCTTGCGAAAGCCATCCACTGTAGCAGCTAAGGATACATTCTCTGGTCAGTATCTATCAACTCCGGGTGAATATATACGACCCGGATTCCATTGACGAGATCAATGTTGATAAGTAGTAGAGGAAAAGTCATTTGCCATGGAATCACTTTCAAACGGGAATTATGATTTCGTGTGGCGTAGCGTGCACAACTGCCGGGTTTTTGGGAGCGTAGGAAGGGTCAAAGAAGGGTAATGTAATGCACCATTGAACGCGAGTTTTGTACGGATAAAAGAGAAATTACAGGAATATTCTGGATTACTGTCAGCGTCATGCTGTCACTGCTCGCGCTTAATTCGGCCGTGGCATTTCGTCCGACGTTTCTTAAGCTCTCTTGCATGAGTGGGTTTCGAAGGCTGTATGCTCACTTGACAAGACGGATCGGTTCTCGAGCTAAAGTCAGATACTTTTGCTGTCAAGGATGCTTTTGTTGCTTCCCAAAATACGGTAGAGAATTGAAGTGGAGATAAGGAGGATAAATGAATTCTTTTATATAAAACTATGAGTCTGATCAGGCTACGGGCGCGGGGTGGCGTATCTGCGGGCGAAACTACAAACGAAGGTCCAGTTATCCCTAGCCTGTCGTTTTCCAGGCCTTGCGTGCGCAGGGCGCACGCTTGGACATATGGACCTGCTCACTTCACTGGGTGAAGAAATTGTCTCGCGATGGAGGTGCTGTATCTTAAAGAGGCACTCTTTCTTCTATCAGGGCAAATAGTAGTCAGTCGAGGCACGTTTTGCCGCTGGGTGAGAAATTGCCAAATACGGCCCACTTTCCCTCAGAAATTCATCCTCAGGTCCCCTTCCTTTCCCCATCCGCCATCCTACCCACCATCTTCGCAAAATTTCCCAACTTCTTACCACTTTGCCTAGAGTTTTTTTTCGAAATTTCCCCTATCAAAAACTAGAACAGCTACAGCTTTCCCCTTTTCTTCGCAAAGCTAGATGAGCCGGGATAAATAGCACACGTGAAATGGGAGAACCGGAGGAAGTCAACAACTTTTTTCCCAAGGCAGATCCCCCCCACCTGGAGATTTCAACGTACGACGTGCCCTGCCCCGTCACTGCTGATGTCAGGAGGTACTATGGCAAAGGCAGATATGCTTTTTCAGAATTACTAGAGCGTTTAGTTCATGGCTGAAATATATTAATGGCTTCTCAGAAAAAAGCGCCCCCTCTTTACTTTTCTACTGACTACTAGGTTCGCGCATGAGAGCTTAATGCCATGTTCAATTGTACGTAAAAGTCGCCTCGTTTCCGCTTGGCATATGGTGGTGGCAAGGCCGAAGGGCGGCCTAGGCTATTTGTGTGTCCCTAATGGGGTTGAGAGCTCTGTTGAGTTGAGCGACTAGTGCTAGCGTAGTGATTGATAATTCATGCTGACACATTTTTACTCTTTCCAAACTAATTGTTAATGGTCTTTGGGTGAATGATGGGCGCACACCTCATGACTTCTCGTCTTTCGAAGAGCTCTCCAACTATTTACGGGCTATAGTGCCTCTCAGTAGCTTTGCTCGTGAACTCTGGACTAAGAGCATTTCGCATTTCTCAAATTTCCCTCTCGTTTATTGTTCGAATTGCTTGTTGCAATTGTTCTCGTACTTTTTGCTCTATTACTCATTGTCATACTAGAAACTTGAGAAAGTAGTTAACATTCTATGGGAGTTAAAGTCTAAGAAGCAATTCAGCGGTTACGGTAGTTTTCTTACGATAGCTTTCTGCTACAAAAAATTTTTATTAAACCAAAAATTCCAGAAAAATGGTCGATCGGCTTGAGAAAATGCGACGACGAGCAACTGGCAACGGAGTTACTCATTGTCTGCTGTGCCATACTGAATTCGGCCTTCTGGCATCGAAAAGCTATGCGGCTATGTGTGTCGACTGCAGAAAGGTTCGCTTTGTTTTTCATACTCTATGAATTACTCAGTTTCGAATGACATTGTCAATTCCAAGTGCTTTAGTGGGGTATCCTACCAGGGTAGCGCTTTATCGCTGGCGTAAATCGCTGTTTTCCTGTAGGGGGCTGTATAAGAAAAGGCCTACTCACCAGGGATGAGTGGGAGGAAGCAGATTTTTCTATTTTGAACCATCAAAAGATGAATGGCTTGTGCTCAGGATTTAGTGCTAACGAATTCCTTCCTGAGACTCTCCAACTCCTAACCAGAATCCTGAAATCTTTTGAGAGCTTTCAGTTGGCAGAAAGACGTATGTGACGAGAAATGGTTTTATCCTTTAAGAAATGCTTACTACCTTGATAGCTTACCTTGAGGGGGAGGAAAGGTAAGTGTCAGGTAGCGCATTCACTGCACATCCGGCGTCTGAGGATAGGACCTTGTGCCACGTAGTGCTGCCAAATCTCCCACATGGTAGGCTGATTTGTACCGGTCTCATCTGCCGGATAAGAAGGCTAACCAGCAACGGGAGACTGGCATCCATCCCGAAGCTAGCTTCCCCTCACTGAGCTAGCTGGCTGACGGGAAATGTCAAGTCTCAGTAGAAGTCAAATGCGAGGCCTTTTCTTATTGTTAGAGGATTTGATGAACGAAGAATGTTTTCATCGAAATTGACTGCTGCGCTGTCCCTTCGGCCTCGGTGATGTAACGGTTGACCAGCAAGAGCGGTAAACGTGAGCTCCAAGTTCGATTCCCAGCTTGGGTAGAGCGTCTCCCCGTGAAGCCAGCATTCTCGCAGTGATTCAAATGAAAAAATTGTTGTAAATGATGAAAATTCCGCTGTTTGAAGAGCCTATTTTCAGTACGTGTGTCAACGGAATTGTGGTGTGGAGACGTTGGATACTCAACGTGGTGAAGTGATCTTTCTATGCAAAATCTGTTCGGAAGCACGAGAGGTGGTTAGTTGTCGGGTGGTCAGCTGCTTTTCCTGTGCAATTTCGCTATTTTGTCCATTCAACCCACTTCTACACCTGTTCTGATTCCCTATTGTTTTGTTCTTTCCCGTCTTCGTTTTCTCCAGTCAATTTCTTTGCTCAGTTCTTCTCAAAAGTCAGCTATTCGATTTGCTTTCCCCAACTTCTGTAACTCATAGAGCAAAGCAAAAATTACAAGGAACCGAAATTATCGAGGACAGGTAGAACCCTCCTCTGTGAGATAGTAGTTGTTCGGAGACGGGACCATATCGCACGTTGGGGATCCCAGTGGGGAGAGTCGTATTCGCCTTCGAAGGGATTGATTACGATTGTTGACTTTTCTTGGTTTTCCTTTAAGCAACGTATTTACCCTCCTCCAGCTGGACATGGATTCTGGAAAACACGTTGTGATTTTTTGACAGTGAAAGGGAGGTAGGGGGGGGGGACTGTGTTGTATTGTCTTTCGAAATTTCACGCGTCAAGCCAGTGTCTTCTCATTTTGGTCTGACAATGCATGGAAGAGTTTTCTGAGACATCTGATTTCTCTGGGCATAAGACACAAAGTGGTTTTGAGAGCATTGTTATCTTTTCGTCGAAGTTTTCCCTTCGGCCTTCAAATTGGAACTCAGTTGAGTGGGCAGTTTTGCTCTGTGGGTTCACTTCTTTTCTTTGAACGCTTTCGCTATCCAAAGCGACCACCCAAAGATTCTGATTTTTGGTTCACCCGATATAACCGGGCCATTTTCAACCATGACTATCTTTTACAATTTATAACTTGGCAAAATTCACCATTACCTTCTATCTTCTGGAGGCCCCATGTATAAAACCTACTTTCTTTTGAGGAACGCGCCCGAATCTGAGCACTCAAAAATAAGCGTTGCCTGCTCTAACGTCCTTTTATAAGCGTAATCTGGAATTTCCTTAACTTTGGAGGCCACTTTTTGCATACCTGCCAACTATTGAGGAAATTAAGCGTATCCCAATGTGTATCGGTTGAAAAGTGGCCATTAATACAGCTACAACCTTGCTCGCTACGGATGAGGCGTTTGAATGAGCCATGATTCGGCACAGCGCCAACTCGTTTCTTTTCTTTTTTTTCTTTAGGCAACCGACAAGATTGTATCTTAAATAGCATTCTTATCAGCCCTCTCCACCCATACTTGCGTCAACGACTGGGGGAGAACGTGCTGGCGACGCGCCAAACCAGCCTCATTGACATGCCCCATCATCCGCAGCGAACAAGGCTGTATCTCGGCCTTTTTTTTGCTCCCTTTGTTGTTGTCCAGCAATTTGGGAGGCGACCGTCTTGGTGCTGCTTATTCGAGTTCAGTTTATCTCCTTTTCAAATAAATCCACTACATTAAGGACTCATAACATGACCGGAATCGTACTCCTACTCATCATGCTACTTCGAGATGGCCACTTGGGCAATGTGGTTTGTGGGCGACATTAGGACAGGTCGTACGTTAGGGATTTCCCTCGAGGGGAGTTTCTGGTCGCTGCAGGAGTCGGAGAGGGGATGAGGAGGTCGTATTATGCCTTTGACAGAAATGTTCCTGTTTTCTTTCTTTCCTGTTCCAAGTGCGGATATACCTTTTCCTCCTCATCCCCCCCCCTCCTCCTCTCATGGACGGTCCGGAAAAAGCTAGAAAGGGGAGAAGTTCTGGGAAGATGGTAAGGTAGGAAAAGACTTTCGAGGGGAGGGGAGCCACAAACCGTGAACGAAACTATTCCGGGATGGGAGGGGGAGGAGAAGGGGAGGAGGGGGACCGATTCACATAGTTCATAAGAAAATATGTGCCAAAAAATATAGTTTATGCTGTTTATCAGGAAATTCTGGTCATGTCTGGACCCGCTTTGGTACGCTACACATCCCCAAATGAAGGGGCGTGGCTGCGTTCTTCATTTGGACTTTGCGACGACGGCTCCCTTTTCCATTTTTGAGCAACTGTCTTTGTCCGGTACGGGGCAGATTGACAGTTGTCTCGGCGGAATGTGTTCGATACCCACTCCACGCTAGTCGGATAAGTGGCGTTATAAGGCCATTGTGCTTTCCGTACTGGTACGTTATTCCTCTTTGAAATCAGTGGCAAGGCTACCTAATGAAAAAACGCAGCGGTCCGACTCCGCCCATTTTCGGCCATCGTGGAATTTGCTTTCAAACTCTGACTCGCGACAACAGTCAAAAAGAGGGTGTTGTCCGGAACGGGACATGCTCTTAACGAGGACGTTTCTGCTCCTTCAAATATCTAGCTCTTTATCCAAAGTTGCTTTATCCTGTTGCAGCCATCATCCATCAATATCCTCATCTTCGATGCTATGGCTTTGTTAACCGCATGTGCTTAATCTTATCATTTTGTTGAATTACAACGGTTAATATTTACAGTTGTGGAAAAAGTCGGGTGCCTGGTTCTACAAAGAAGTGCCAGAATTTGTTCGTCCTGAAGCGAACGGTAGCGTCATTTCCCCACCACCTCAAAACAATCCATCATGGACGTCACCAGCCGGATCGTCATCATCTCAGCAACATCCGAGG